GTGTGTGTGTGTATATGCAAACGTTTGAAAAATAGAGAAGAGAATAAGAATCGCATACAAAGGAAGTTAACAAGAGATCGGAAGGAATAAGATACGAACTGTACGAACAATAACTAGTGTGTACTGAAATAGAAAATAATAACAGTAAGCGAAAGAAATTACATTACATTCGTAATCCGAATCTCGATTTAATATAAAAAAAACGCAATGGGAGAGAATATAGAAAGGCGTTTTGAAGAGGCGCATGAGAGATTGCGCAAGTAAGTGTGTGTGGATAGTTTCAAGATGAATCTTGAGGAAGCCATAATCTGTGCCCAATGCGCGGGTTAAGGACGAACGCCTTAACATCCCTGTCTATTTGTCGAATAAAATACGGGGAACCTGGCAACCGCATAAAACGTGCATTATTCTCAACTTTTTCTCACTCACGGATTCGGCGTCGAGCACCCGGGTAACGCTAGGCAAATCTGTCCCTATCAGCCGCAGACGGACGTTACTCCTGTACCCCCTCCCTTATTATTTGCCTGAAGAATAAAACTAGAATTTCAATGATTGATGAAAAGTGGGAACGATAATTTCGAGAGCATGCGTTATAAAGTTATCACTAAATGAAGACTTGTTTCATTTTCTCGAATCGATCCAGGTTTTCGATATAGAAGATATGGAAGTATTGAGATTACACACTTGCGAGATATTGTACTATCAAAACAATGCGTTTAAACATTTGTATTGATATAATTCTCTTTTAACAAGCGTAATAAAGAAAATTTATTAACTCAGTTTTCTATTTAATCCTCTGTAATTCTATTAAATAATCTTTTATAACTTATTTCTGTTAACATCATATTTACCAATTATTACTGTTTATCTGCATTTCATATTTGTTAGTACGCCGTAATCCCTTTTATCGTCATGCATTTTGATTAACGAACTTCGTCGATCTGATGCTCTGCATTTTAAATTAGCAGTAATAAATTGCAAAATTATAATGACTCTGTCAACATGCATTTGACAATATTAATCCCAAAGAAATGTGCCGTTTAAACTGATACAAACAAAGTATTCATAATTGAATATTGTGTGCACCAAAATATATCGGGACTCAATTAAAATTTCTATATTACAAATTGAGTTTATACATTTTCTCATTTTCATGTAGCTTTATGTTACAGGTACTATATAGTAACATGCGGTATGCGTTACATAACTAAAGCTAAGTTCGATAGCCGGAGAAACATGATAATCATCAACGTATACCACGTATATTATGGAATTATTGTCCAAAAGGTGTCACATCGGTCCGACATTGCGACCACCATTAAATTTATCGTAAATTGACCCAAATTTTCTGATAATCGATAGAGTTGCTAAAAGCCGAAACAATAATCCCGATGTTGTTAGAATAAAATAAGCATAATTAATATGCATAATAAACAAAATTAATACATTCTTCATTATTAATTAACATGTCGTTAATTATTCGTTATTTAACTTTTTTCTTATACTTTTATTTATCCATTTATTTTTGTTTGTTTTTTTTTTCAAAACAGATAAATTATAATTACATTATTAATTCTCCACGAATGCAAACTGACAGTTGTGATATATATATATATACAATTTTAATTAAATAATTGAAACATTTTTATCGCATCAAATCTAACGTTTGTTGCATTATTCAATTGTTAATGTAACGGCAGTACACAATCGCGACGGTATATTTCTTTCATCTCGTTTCTGCGATTCACAGGACAATGTGTATGACAAGGTATAATGTACAAAACAAAGTATGAAAGAAGTACAAGCCATTGCATTTCAATGAAAGCTTACTTTGGCCGCATTGGCGTGCTGGACGCTCGCTTCCGGGTTGGAACACTCGCGGTTGATTTGTTTTTCTCGACTTCGCCAGGATAGACGTTAAGTGTACTCAACGTCTTATCGTGCGCCGCGCGGATTTCGGTGCCATATTTCATACGGCAGGCAACTTTTAGCGCTCTTCTTTCATATTTACTCGACCGGTTTGCGAAAGGCACAATACGGAAGATATAAATCCAGAGATTTATGAAGTCGGTGCAGTTCATTGAGATACGCGAAATAAGTCGAAGTATCGGGAAGTGAAAGAAAGTAATTGGTCACGTTTCCAGAATTTATTCTGCAGCAGTCTGAATCAATTTTCCAATATCACATGAGCGTTTATTTATAAGCCAGTTATACATATATGAATTAAACTTCTCAGATACTAACAAACAAGGTAATATTTCTAATTGTTTATTAATATCAAGTAATGCATTTATCGAAGACTTCTGCTTCTCTCTTTTTTATTGTCATCATTCTCAAATTTATTTTTTATTGAATCGCAAGAAATTAATGTCAAAAAATCCTTTTTCGTCTATTTGAAAATATATAACAGTTTGAAAATATTTCATAAAAAGATCATATTAAAATTACAAAAAGCTTTCCATATATGGTATAAATAATATCCTACATCTATGTTAACGTTAAAAAGTGCCGTGTTAAGCAGAGTTGTGAGTATACCGCTGGTTGCCGTTGTCAGTGCAAAACACTCGTGCAGAAACCGAAAAATAAACATCGCTGTGAACCAGGAATAATCAGATGGTGCACAGAGAAGGAGGTACAAAAATGCATGCGACGAGAGTGTACAACTACACACGCGTCACGCCCCGAGCGAACCTACCGCGCCACGGGAGATAAAAGCTCGCTGTGCTCCTCGTTCTGTTTAGCGGTTGGATATTAAAAATGGAGCAGAGAGCGAAGAGCGAAACCACGAAGCAAGCTTTATTCAGTCGGGGACCGTGAGCTTTCGAAGAGCGTCACGCGCGCGTCAACTGGTGGCGCGATTGTTTCGCGTAAACTTGTATACACCTCGTCGCAGAGACAAGTGCAGCGGTAGAACGAATAACGCGTCCATCTAGCGAAAAGGAAAAAGAAAAAAAAATGGAAGATAAAATGCTTTAGGGCAAACTTTTAGGGCAAATGCATATTCATGTCGTAGCGATGCGACCGCTGGGTCCAAGTGGCGCGAATTAATATGCATAAATTCTGCCATTACCAGTGGCTCAGGCAGCTTGAAACGTCTCTTCCCCCGATTTCCGGAGATCCAACCCACTTGCTGAAAATTCTTAAGGGCGGCAACACTATTACCCAGTACGATACCCACTTGCTTAAATCTGGGTGTAACAAAAGTAAGAAATGCCAAGAAGTTTTTTATCGCAGCAAGTCGCGCAATATACATATCCACGTTGTATAGAAATTTTTAATCAAGTTTTAATCAAAACTAAGTTATAAGATAAAGCAAATATTGTTGACAAAATTACAACAAAGTATAAATATTAAAAGGAAAGAAATAGTTTTTAGAAAAATTGAATATTTACAATTTATTTCTATTTTAGAAAATTGCCTTGAAATTAACGTTTTATCGAATAATGAAAATTCCTATTTTTTTTAAATCTTTTTAAACAAATTTCAAAATAATTCTAACATTTTTAAAACTGAATAATAAATGTCTTTGATTATTTGAATGCGACAATGGCTTTTAAAAAAGGATTATGTGAAATGTAAAAGTGAACAATGTTGAGAACGCTAAAACTTTACTTTCTCAATTATACGCCCTGGAAAAATTTTTGTCTCGTATGTTATTGCTCCTAAATGTATCCGGCACGTTCCTAAAAAAAACTTCGTCAGTCGGAATTTTGCGAGAATTTAATCATTCACGCGAAATTGAAAGGCTTTATGCAAGATAGCATCACGTTTTCAGAAAAATTCACATACATCTCTT